TACATTAGTAAATGGTTGAAAACAATCAGAAGAGTGACATTTCATAATATCTGAAATGATCTGAAATTCAAATCTCAATGCCTATCAGTAGAGTTTTATTGAAACGTAGTCATACTCACTTCTTTAGTATTGTCTTTCTGCCTCTTTAAGAAGATTTGCTAGCTCCTGGCTTAGATCCAACAGGGGCAACTACTTTTGTCATGTGGACCTTGTAGAACTGGTTGTCTCTTCCACTCGGAGATGCTGTGTGTGTGCTGGCCACATTTCTCCTCCTGCTGGCCTCCCGTAGGGTCTCAGGGTACTCCTGTCAGGCCAGACAGTGCACTGATGTCTAGATTTCTCAACAGTGAGGCTGAGATACTGTAGAATCAGGACAAGTCTGTTTTGAGATTAGAATGAAATGAGACAAGAGAAAAGCGCTCTGAAAATGCAAGGGATGGTATCATTCAACAGATAATGCTTAAATGGTATTCAATGAAATTTGGATGTGTTGTGTTCTTTGTATATGTAGTAATGTTTGTTATGGTTGTTTGGTTTTCTTTTTCAATTTTTATTTATTTTCACTTTATTTGAAAAGCAGAGAGACACAGAGAGAAACAGAGACAGATAAAGATCTTTACCATCTTCTGGTTTACTCCCCAAAGGCCAGGAATTCAGAACTCAAATCTGGGCCTCTTATGGGGAGATTTAAATCATTACCTGCTACCTCCCAGAGTGTGCATTAGCAGGAAGTTGGAGTTAGAAGCAGAGTCAAGACTTGAACCCAGGCACTCCAACATGAGATGTAGGCATCCCAAACAGCATTTTAACTGCCGGTTTAAATGCCCACCCCTAAACAAAATGATTTATTAACCAGAATGCCCTAATTTCTGATCAGACCAAGTAAGTTTTAAACAAACTGAAATCACACAAAGCATATTAAACCTACCCACAGGAACTCTGAGTTTCCCAACCCTGTCTGTAGAGAAAATCCTGGCTCCTCCACCTTGTTTGTGTCTCCTCTTTGCTTTCTGTTCACTGCTGCAATTTTCTTTTCCAATGTCTGTGCTTGAGCTTTGGGCCACTACATTGTTTTGAGTGACTGGAGTAGACAGAGATGAAGGTCATTGAGTTTGAAGCCAAGGAATTGGAAGGCCAGGGCTTTGGGAGAATCATTAGCCAGATGCTGACATTCCCCAAGGTGATGGTCAGGGTTGGTAGAAAGAACACTAGGAGCCACGTGCTCAGTAATTATCATGGGAGACCCAGGATTTGGTGAGGGTCACTGAAGGGGGAAAGCAGAGGAAAAAGAGGAAAATGTGGCATGAGAATCAAAAGTCATTTTTATTTATTTACTTAAAGATTTATTTGTTTGTTTGAAAGACAAAGTTGTAGGGAGAAAGAATCTTTTTTCACTTCCCAAATGGCAGCAATGGCCAGGGCTGAGCTAGGCAGAAGCCAGGAGCCAGGAGCTTCATCCAAGTCTCCCAGATGGGTGCAGGGGCCCAAATCCTTGGGGCATGTTCTGCTGCTTTCCCAAACCATAAGCAGGGAGCTGGATTGGAAGTAGAGCAGCTGGGAATCAAATGGGTATCCATATGGGATGCCGGTATCACAGACAGCAGCTTACCCCCTAAGTCATAGCATCAGCGAAAAAAAGGTAATTTTTATAGTTATCAGTGTTTTTAAAATATATATATATTTTTTTTTTTTTTTGAAAAGCAGAGTTATAGAGAGGGGCAGGCAGAGGCAGAGAGAGGTCTTTCATCCACTGGTTCACTCCCCAAATGTCCTGTAATGGCCAGAGCCAGGCCAGGCCAGGCCAAAGCCAGGAACCGGGAGCTTCATCCAGGTCTCCCACATGGGTGTAGGGGCCCACATATTTGGGGGCATGTTCTGCTGCTTTCCCAGGTCATTAGCAGGGAGCTGGATGGGAAGTGAAGCAGCCAGGACTTGAACTATTGCCCAATGGCATGCCTGTGTTGCAGGTGGCAGCTTAACCTGTTACACAACAGCGAAAGCCCCCAAAAGTCATTTTTAAAAGAAGGGGCTGAATAAAGTATCAGGGGAGCTAGGACAGTGGGGCCCTCTGGGTCCCCACAGGTGTGGGACAGTTAGCAGCCTCCCCTGGAGAAGGTGATAAAGGAAAATGGCAGAGGAGCCCTGGGAAGGAGCAAGGGGTACAGTGTGAGGCCTGCAGAATCCTTTTCCTTTCAGGGGATGAGGGACATGCTGGGGATGGGGGAGGGACATGCAGGAGTACGGGGGGAGGTCAGTGGAAAGGACCGGGTGACACGCACTGCAGGATTGCCAGTGAGGAGACGTGTCTCAGGGGTTTACCCTGCAGCGGAGACCAAGGCAGCAGCCACCTGAGTCGTCTAGGATTAGCTGGCCCCAAGTTGTGAATGAAATGCCGGGGTAAGACTGCTCAGTGCAGAGGAGGAAGGGGAGGAGGGGAACGTGAGAAGCCTGATGGCACTTTAAGGGCTGCAAGTAGATATTGCAGCTGCCACAAGCCATTTCCTTCACGTAGAATGTTTTAGCAGAATGCTGCCCAGGAGTGCACGCATTGGTAAGTTTGGGCCCCTTGCCTAGACAACTTACATACTAAGCAGTTACTTCAAAGCACTGAAGGGTGCTGGTGCTCTGGCACAGTAGGCTAAGCCTCCACCTGCAGCATTGGCATCCCATATGGGTTCTGGCTCATGTCCCAGCTGTTCCTCTTTGGATCCAGCTCTCTGCTAATGCACCTGGGAAAGCAGTGGAGGATGGCCCAAGTGCTTGGGACCCGGCACCCATGTGGGAGACCCAGATGCTCCTGGCTCCTAGTTCAGATTGGCCCATCTCTGGCTGTCGTGACCATCTGGGGAGTGAACCAGTGCATGGAAGACCTTTCTCTGTCTCCCCCGTGGCTCTGTCTCTCAAATAAGTAAATAAAATCTAAAAAAAAATTTTTAGGTTTCTGGTGACTAATGCCACCCTTCCTCTAGGTGTCTGTGCGGCTCACTTTCTTCCTCCAGGTCCTCTCGACCAGCCTCCTCCTCACACTGCCCTCTTCTGCCTTTTCTTTCATCATCCCACCATGTCTTCCTTGCTCGCTCTGTAGTTGTTTATTAGTTATTGATCATCATTCCCACCAGAATCTCAGCTCCATGAAGTCCAGAACTTCCCTTTGTTCTCTACCCTAATTCCCAGTACTGGCCTAGAGCAGAACTCAATAAATACTTGAGAACAAATGAATGCCATCTTCCTTTGTCACCTTCTCCAGGGGAGGCTGCTCATTGTCCCACACCTGTGGGGACCCAGAGGGCATAGTCCTCCCATTGTCCCAGCTCCTCTGACACTTTGTTCATCCTCTCCTTTTAAAAATGACCTTTGGGGCTGGTGTTGTGGCCTAGGGGTTAAGGTGCCGTCTGTGACACCAGCATCCCATGTGGATGCCCATTCGATTCCCGGCTGATTGGTTAGCAAAGGCATAGGTGCCTCTGGACGTACAGATGGCCCTCAGGGAGTTCATCTCAACCAAAAGTTGTTGTTCAGATGCTTCTGTTTACTCGGCCTCTGGGTCCTCTCTCTTCACCATGCCTGCTAAGTCAAAGTGAGTTCGCTGAAACTCCACACTGCGGAGTCTCTCGATGTCTTGTACATGCAGTTCTGACTGCTGAGACTCAGCTGCTTGCCTGCATCCCGCCTCCCCTCAACCCCATCTTGCCCTTTCTTCTTAACTGCTTTTTCAGTGTTGGCCAAGTGGCAGAACCTGGAATGAGAGTCTGAAAAGCACGGCCCTGCAGAGCTTCCTACCAAGACTTGAGATTTTCGATAACTAGGTAGTCAGACACCCCTTCTCCAAGAACCTCCAACTTGTGGGGACATTGACAAGCCTGTGATTGTATGCTGGTATGATAAGGACAACGGCAGGGGGCACTACCTTCAGGAAGCCTGAAGAAGGGACAGCTAGGTGTTAGGCTGGGGGAGGAGTGGGATTTCACTGAGCAAAGAAGGACTGGGGGGGGAACATACAGTAAGGAAAGTCCTTGGGGCTTGGGAAGTGGGTCCTGTTGGAGGAACCAGAAGTACCAACTGCCAGGTGACTGGAGACCCAGTACGAGGTGGGACTAGGGGGTGGAAGTAGGGCAAAATCAGGCTGGAAAGTAGGGAGACAAAACCAGGCTGGAATTCCAGCTCCAACAGCACTTCCTAGCTGAGTGATCCTGGGCATCCTGAATGTCCCTCCCAAGGTCAGTTTCCTTGCTGTGATCTCAGAGTCTAGGGTAGCCCTGAGGAGAAGGCGTAAACACTCAGCCAAGTGCCTACCGCACTGTAGGCACTCAGGAAGCAATGGCTGTTGTGCCCTGTGCTCTTGTGCTAACTGGATGGAATTGGACAGTGCCCAGCCACCCAACACTTCTCCACCAAGAAACCCACCCACCTTGCTAGCAGCTAGTCTCTCCTGAGCTTCTTAGGACTGGATTAGGGCCCACCTATTTCCGAATAAGGTCACATTCACAGGCCCAGCGGGTGGGACTGATGGAGTTCAACATATCTTTTTCAGGGGACTTAGTTCAACCCGTACTACACCTCAAGGTCAGCTAGGGTGACACAGGATATTATGTTCTTATATTTCCTGACAGAAATACAAGACAGCACCTGTGAAGTATTGTAGCCAAAGAATTAGACCCAAATAAGACCAAGCCTAGATTTACCTACCAATTTACAGGAAATAGAGAAGATGAAAGGATTTTTTTTCAAGATTTATTTATTTGAAAAGCAGAATTACAGAGAGCAGAGGCAGAAAGAGAGCGGTCTTCTATCCACTGGTTTACTCCCCAGATGGCCCCCAATGGCCGGAGCTGTGCTGATTTGAAGTCAGGAGCCAGGAGCTTCTGCCAGGTCTCCCACATGGGTGCAGGGGCCCAAGGACTCAGGCCATCTTCCACCTCATGCGCATAGAACAGGTTGTTTTGTTTTGCTTTGTTTTCCAATCTGCATTTTCTAAGGAAACTCCTCCTTCATTCTTCCAGCGGTGGACAGGAAGTGCCCTGTGGCACCATCACACAGCAAACCCCCTTGACCTGCCAGCATCACCCTGTGACCCACCAGCCACAAGCAAGCGCTGGGCAGGGAGGGGCTGGGTGCCCAGAAGGAAGTAGTGAGCAGCAGAGCTGAAAGCAGACAGCCGCTCTGGCTGGAAGGCCAGTGGTGCGCCTGACTGCCCCTGGTGGGACACCCCAGCCAGGAGTGCTACCGCGACACTCACCCTCCCATCGTCTTTTGGTAAGTTCACGGGCTGTGGAAGTTTCTGGGGGCTGAGGGCTGTTACCTGGTTATAGCAATTGCTCCATTGGCAGTGTTTGCGAAGTGCTAATTTACAGCAATGCCTCGGAGGGCTTAGTGTCTTCTCCCAAAGTGGGTAACCAGAGTAAGCTTTCATTTAAGTTTATTCTTTAAAAAATATTAATAACAGTATGGTGTGTGCTTAATCCTCTGGAAGTCCTCCGTGTCAGCCTGGCTTTTCTCTCTTGCTCTGTGGGGCTTTACATGAGATATCTCTGCCAGATTTGGGGATTTCCTGGCAAAGAAGAGAGGTGATTAGAGAGCATGGGATGCATACAAATACATTTCACTCCAACCAGGCTTTTCAGGTGTCACCAAAGATGGGTGAGAGGGGGCCAGTGCTGTGGTATAGTGGATAAAGCTGCCGCCTGCAGTGCCGGCATGCCATATGGGCACCGGTTCTAGTCCCGGCTGCTTCTCTTCTGATCCAGCTCTCTGCTGTGGCCTGGGAAAACAGTAGAAGATAGCCCAAATTCTTGGGCCCCTGCCCCGACATGAGAGACCTGGCAGAAGCTCCTGGCTTCAGATTGGCCCAGCTCAGCCATTGTGGCCATCTGGGGAGTGAATCAGTGGATGGAAGACCTTTCTCTCTCACTCTCTCTGTCTCTGCCTCTCTGTAACTCTGCTTTTCAAATAAATAAGTAAATCAATCTTAAAAAGAAAAAAAAAGATGGATAAGAAAGCAGATAGAGAGCTATATAAAAGGACCTTTTATAAAAGAATGGCTTTGTGGGCTGTTGCTGTGGCGTAGCGGGTAAAGCCATCGCCTGCAGTGCCGGAATCCCATATGGGCACCGGTTCAAGTCCCGGCTGCTCTTCTTCCAATCCAGCTCTCTGCTATGGCCTGGGAAAGCAGTGGAAGATGGCCCAAGTCTTTGGACCCCTGCACCTGCATGGGAGATCTGGAAGAAGCTCCTGGCTCCTAGTTTCAGATTGGCACAGCTCCGGCTGTTGCAGCCAATTGGGGAGTGAACCAGTGGATGGAAGACCTCCCTCTCTGTCTCTGCCTCTCCTTTCTCTTTGTAACTCTGATTTTCAAGTAAATAAATAAATCTTAAAAAATAAAAATAAAAAATAAAAGTATGGCTTTAATTCAAGCTATCTCCTAGCAAGAAGGGATGTCCTACGGCAGGAAGAGGACCTGGGACTCAGCCATCTGTCTCTATCCAGCCTCTGGGGGCTTCTTTCCTGTGTGGACAGAAACTTTCAAGACTCAGAGCAAAATGCACTGAATTTTGTGTGTTTATCCTCTTTTGTAAAATGTTTATGTATCTGTTTGAAAAGTGGGTAGCGGCTTATTTACATGGTGTCTGCCTGAAGAGTATATTTTGGAGTTGCTGTTTATTGCTGTTAACACCCTGTGTGAAACTGGGCCAAGCAGCAGTTTCTAGAAGACAAGGCTATGCTTATTTTGAAGGGACTGATAAAGCTCTTGCTCATCTGACAATGCTGGTGTTTTGATGACGGCATTTGGCTTAACCATAGAGGCTGCTGAAACAGTTTGCACTAGGGGAACTTGAGACATGGATTAAGTGAGGAATAAGGTGACAGGCCGGGGGGTCTGAGATGTGGGCAATCCTATGAGTCCAACAGAGGAGGTGCAAGAGAGCCTGGTTAGGAAGAAAAAGCTGTCCTGTTCAAACACACACACCCATATCAACATCAAGAGAACCAGGAGGAAAGAGATAATGGCAGTGAGAGCGCTGCGTGGGGGACTGGGCTGACCTAGCAGATGCCGGTCAAGCTGGGACCGGGCTGGAGACACAGTTCATGGCTGATTTCCAGGACCATGGCGAAAGCTGGCCAGAGATTTCAGTGAAGGCCACCAGGTTTCACGAGGCCATGGAGTGAAATTCTATGATGTTCTAACCAGAGACGTAGTGGATTAGGTCCCAGCAGAGAAAGATCCTGATTCTGCAGCAAAGCTTCCTGTTGGTGCTCGACCCCTACCCCTGCCTGGGTGTCCCCCATCTTCTCTCTGGGCGCTCTGCACAGCTTTTACACTCTGAACTAGCTCAGCTCCATAGAGAGACTTTTGTTAGGCATTCATTAGCTTGCACGTTGCATTTTTCACCCATGAAACGTTTTCAAGCCTCCTGATGCTGTCAGGTGCCTCACATTGGATTTGAACAACTGTGACCTTCAGGTGCCTGTAACACCATCCCCGTGGATTTTCGATTCAAATTCAGCGATCCTTTTATTCAACAGGAGGAAATATTAGAAATGGTTAAAGGATCTTCCCTCCCCGCCTCTGGGGTCTATAAGCTAAAACCAGTTCTTCCGCCTAGATTGTCAATCTTTTAGGCAATCTTTGATTCCAGCTCCTCTAAACAGATCAGTTTCCTGGAGAGGCAGAAGACCAGGGTGTTTAGGAAACAAAAACCTGGGCTGGGTATCGGTTCCACCACTGATGACCAACACATGCCCTTCAGTCAAACTTTCCGCATTTCCTCTCAAGTAAGCACAAAAGGGCTGGATCAACACCACAGAGATCTCAGTGACCTCAGAGGAGGGGCTGGAATGAACAGACTTGAATTTAAATTACTTGGCTGCAGGGACGAGTGCTGGGAAGGCACTAACAAGACTATTCCTGCAGAAAGTCCGGTTGGCCCTGAGCTGGACGGGAAGCAAGAGTGAACTGTGGCTGCCTGTGAAGCTCGCCATCACTGGCACTGACAGCAGCTCGGCTTCTGGGGTAGGGGAAGTTCAAGTTCTGCTTTGCTCTCCCCTGGTCTGGCCGTGATATCTCCTGCTTCCAGTCTTGATATCTGCCTCTAATTCTGTCTCCAACTTGCATTCAGATTTTTCTAAAAATGCACATTTGATTGTGTTGCTGTCTGGGTAAAAGCCTTGAATTTTTCCCCATTGCCCATCCCTGCTGACCTCCCCAGCCTATCACTTGTCCTCCATCGACCCACAGCCCTGACTCTGACAGTTCCAGGCCACTGGCAGTTCCCAGAAGTGGTTCTTTCTCTGCCCTGTGGGCTTTAAGAGCCACTCAGCTTGCTCCTCTCATGGCATTTTCCACACTGCATTGCAACTGCTTGAGGCTGCCCCACCCTGCCCCAATCCCAAGCAACAAGGGCCTCAAGGTGGAGTTGGTGGCATTTCTGTGTGTTCTTGCATCTGCTGCTTCCCGGTAGGCACTCCATAAATACCTGGGGAAGAAGTGAGAAGGGTGGTGAGGGCTATGGAAATAAAGTTGAAGGACAAACGCTAGAGATGCTGGGACAGTGTGGCCTGGAAGAGAGAGCATTAGGAGAAGTGTAATAACTCACCTTCCTGCCTGGGCTGCTGTGAGGAGGTGGGACACGGATTGCTGTAGCCTCAGCAGCAGGCAGGAGTAAACCTCAGCTGGCAGGAGACGGGCAGTGTGCACCAGAAGCAGCAGTGTTGGAGAGCGCTGTGGAGTGTTCTGTTTGTGTACATCAGTGGAGGAACTGTACTCTGTGCAGAAGGGAAGGCCTCCCAGCAACCCGAAGAGTTCTCTGGCCCAAAAATTCCCAGCATCATCTCAGGGATGTGGATGGAGGGGTGCTTGTGTTGAGTGAAGAGTTCCCCTAGATAATGTTTAAGTTCCTGTAGAACATGGCTATGATTATCTGTCCCTGACAGCTCTAAAAGCCTGTCACTCTCTCTCTCTCTTTCTTTTTTCTTTATTCTTTTCTTTTAAAGATTTATTTATTTGAAAAGCACAGCTACAGAGAGAGGTGAGCTAGAGAGAGAGATCTTCCATCTGATGGTTCATTTCCCAAATGGTCATAATGGCCAGGGCTAGGCAAATCCAAAGCCAGGAGCCAGGAACTTCTTCTGGGTCTCCCATAGAGGTTCAGGAGCCCGAGTATTTGGGCCATCTTCCGTTGCTTTCCCAGGTGCATTAACAGGGAACTTGATCAGAAGTGGAGCAGCTGAGACTCAAACAAGTGCTTATATAGGATACCAGCGCTGTGGACAGCAACTTAACCTGCTGTGCTATAGCTCTGGCCCCATCTTTTTTTTTCTTTTAAGATTTATTTATTTATTTGAAAGGCAGAGTGACAGAGAGAGAAAGAGAGAGGGAGGTATCTCCTGTCCACTTGTTCACTTCTCGAATGACCACAATGACCAGGGCTGGGCCAGCCTGAACCCAGGAGCCTAGAACTCCATCTGGGTCTCCTTTGTGGGTGGCAAGGGCCCAAACACTTGGACCATCTTCCACTGCTTTCCCAGGCACTTGTAGGGAGCTGGGTCAGAAGTTGAAGAGCTGGGACTGGTGTTTGTATGGGATGCTGGCATTGATGTGCCACAATGCCAGCCCCTAAGTCTGTGATTCTTTTATCTAGGCCACAACTAGAAAATTTAGAAAACTGAACAGGCATTCTCATTTCTGACTTCTATTCCTTAGCTGCACCAGGATATTTTACCTGTTCCAAATCTACTCATGATGTGTGATCCATTTAATTGTTGCATTGAGGGGTTGGCACTGTGGCATAGCCAATAAAGCTGCCACCTGTAGTGCTGGCATCCCATATGGGCATCGATTCATCCCAGCTTAACCCACTATGCCATAACACCAACCCCTACTCCTAAGCTTGTTGTAAGGCTAAAATGAGAGCACAGTACACAGGAATAGTAAGTGCTTAATAAACATTAGCTGGTATCATCAATACTGGATGAAGTCTGGACTGGGAAACAGAGGGAATTGATTTCTCCTCCCAGTGCTAAAGGTGTCCCTGAGCGCAGAAGTTCCCAGACTGCTCTCTGCACAGCCTGCAAGTTCCTCAGAGCTTCCGTCCCGGACCTGGGCTGGTGGGAGCGTATAGAGAGAACTGTACTGGCGCAGAACTAAATGGGGTTCTACGCTCCCCACTGGTGCTCCTATGCTGCTGTCTGTGGTCCTGAAACAAAATTTGTTACTAAGATCTGGTTAACACCCTAGAAAATGGGGTGGGGAGAGGGCT